TATTGGTCTCTCTAGATATGCATGCAATATTAGATGTCTAGGCATTAATGTCCTCGTGTGTACTATACACTCAAAGAATAAAACCCGTTCCATCTGAAAAATTGCTAATTGTATGAAATCCCGGATTGCACGACAAATTATTCAATAAAATGAGATGTTTTGATTGGTCAATTCGTAAATCAACGAATGACGCGGGCGTGACGCATCCAGTGGGAACTCACCCTAATGTTCTCTAATTATCTAGTAACTTTAGATCGATGAGTTCTATGACTATCCATCTGGGGACTTTAAGGAGAAAAAGAAAAATCTGAGAGAGCGATTCAAGAGTCAAGACTGGTTCATGTAAGTTTTATATCGTACAGTTATTATTTGAGTTTGCTGTTTCGCTTCTCGAATGTAGCGCTATAACGAGGTTGGGTAAATACTAGCGAATTATTAGCTGACTCGAGAAAAGAAAAATAATCTACATAATATTCTCGTTGCAATTATTAAAACAACGTGGAAAGATGGCGGAACAGAGTGACAGGAGTCAATTACCACCCGGCTGGGAATGTAGATACGACATTCGCAGCGGTCGTCCGTACGTAAAGTTCACTCTTTACATTTTTTATCATTATATTTCTTTTATTATATTAAAAATAGAATTTATTAATAGAGTTTTTGATATCGAAATCTTTATATCTCGATATAGTAATCTCGTGTTATGCAAAACAAAGATTGCTATGCATATAGATCTTGATAATTCTGCGATTCTTGAAATACATATATAAATAGGCAAATTGTCAATTATATCTGTTAAAGAAAGAAATACCGATAATAAATAATATTCTACATGTATTAAGATATCTTTGTTGAGATACCTTGTTCAAAGAAGTTTTGCTCTGATGTGAATGCATTGAGTAAACACTTGTAGAAATTGATTTTACGAAGTTGATTTAATATTTCTCTGATGACAAGAAATTAGATATAAACTTTAATGGTGTCCTCCAGATATTTCATAAATCATTTTAATCGAACCACAACATGGGAAGATCCAAGAGTGAGATATTGGCAGTATTCTCAGTATATACAGTCTCAAAATTCGATGGCATTGAGTTCAGCTACTACTACTACTTCTCAAGATATTCCTATGCAGGTCAGTTGTAACAATTAGTTGAATTTGTGTATGTATATGTGGTAAGTCATAAAAATTTATGTGTTTTTTAATGAAATATTAAATGCTTAAAAAGATGATATTTTATATTAAAATATATATTTTTCCACACTCTAAAACACTTTAAAATGATTTTTTTAAATATTTAAAATATTTAATTTATTGAATAATTTTACTTTAATTTTACTTTCTTTGTCTTTTTATATGTAAATATTTAAATTTGTTATGTCAGAATAATACTAGGTAAATGTCCCCATAATCAGACATAAACCTATATTTGGACACAAAAATTATTATTAATCTCAAATGTTTTTTTAATTATATGATATAATTTGATTATATTTTTTTAGTATTTTTATATTACAATTAAGTTTAATATAATAAAAATATTTAAGAATAAGTTTTGTGTAAGTGTTCAAATATAGGTACAATGTACATATCCAATTATTGCAACTTTACCTTATATTGAACATTACTTATCTTATGTTTTCTAAGAACATCCTATATAAACTTAAATATTTATAAAGTACTTCTTCCTTGAAATTAATAATTTATTTAATTTTTTATTAATGTGTCATAAATGTGTGATTTGAAATTTGAAAACTTTGTAATGACATTTCGGTTATTAAAGTACAAAAAGTACAGTAGAACTATCTGTATTTATCTGTACTCCATTTATATTGAACAAATTTATACTCATTCTCAGTTTCAAATATACAAGCTTATAACTGAATTCTTACTAACTCGAGTTCTTATTATCCAAATGAACCATTTGGATAATAAGAACTCGACGTGTTTAATTTCAGTTTTCTAAATGATAGCTCCTATTGTTGGAACTAATAAGTACGACCCCTCTTATAACTGAACAACTAAGCGAGTCTCTATCCAAACTATTTAATTATCCAAATTATCTTATTCCTCAACATGTTAGATAAAAACGGAGATAAATATACAATAAACGGAGTTTTATTAAAAACAAAAATTTTTAGCAAATTTAAATGTTTTACAAGTTATTTCATATTTTCTTCCACAATATATAAATGTTTAAATTTATTGAAATTATCAAGTCATAATATTTCCAATATTACTACTTTCAATATACCCTGACACTATTATTGAATTACCTCTGTACTTTTTGAGATAAAAGTTGATAGATCCATTTTTATATTTAATTTCTCCAAATTTTATTGTATTAATTTAATTTGAGATAACTATGTTAAATTTTCTTTTTATCAGAAGAAATATTTTTTATTGGAAAAAATCAAATCTTTATTGAGAAAAAATATATTATTTGTTATTTCAATATAATTTAGGAGAATTCAATCATTAATAACATTGTTCAATAAAAAATGACTTTTCGAACGCAAAAACAATCGTTTTATATAAAGGTATATTCAGTTTTTTAGATGCTAAATATGATTTTGTTTATCAAATGTTCTACAATATTATAATTTCGAAAAATTTGCAGTTAAAGTTGCAAAAAAACCTATTTTAGTGTATTTTAACATATTATAATTACGATATGTGACATGTTAAAGAAATTTTATTACAATTAAAATGAAATGTGTTCTTAGTACTTTCAGCTCTTAAGGCTCCTGTTTACTCACCATTATTACCTAAAATTGATGTCAGAAGCAAGAAAATACACAGTATGAATTTTTGCAAAATATATTCAAATAGAAATATTTTTTTAATAAAACATTTGCAATCGATAGAATAAACTTGTAAAATATGCCGAAACTATGTTTTTATTTCGAACGAAATTAAATTATATTTATTTCTATACATTGTTAATTTGATAATTGTCAGAGTTGTGAACATAGTTTATTTGGTTACGCATAATTCATTTCCAGATATATTATTAATTATTATTTATTAGCAAAATAAAGGAGAGATTTTGATGTTTTACAAGTTTTACAAGTTGGTTTTATCGATTGTAAATGTTGTTTTATTGGAACATATTTCCATTTTAATATATTTTGCAAGAATTTTTGTCTACTTTCTCGCTTTTGACGTCAGAATTTGAGATAGTAGTGGTAAGTAAACAGGAATCGTTAAAAGAATTTATTGTGTCAATTATAGTTAAAAAGATATTTATGTAATATACTTCAGTTATATTATTCAAACCTAAAAAATTTTCAATTTGCTGAATATAAATCTGATGTCAAAGTTGATAAATTCAAAATGGCGAAATCAATACAATTGATGTCAAAATTAAAAATGTTTGAATTTTTGAATAATTCATGTATGTATAATATAATTTATTGATTCTTACAATTAATATAATTTAAATTGAATTTATTAATTTTGACATTCTTAATAGTATATGTAAGTTGCAGCTTTGTTGCAGTAGATTGAACATTAATTTCAAGTATTCTTTTTAAACATAATCGACATAATAAAATCTTTTTAAGGACTGAAAATCCAGTTTACTTTTCAAAATTGTCAACAATTATTGCAGTTACAAATTTAATATCTAAATCCCTTTTTTTTTACAAAAAATTAAATATTAATATTTTTACAGAAAATAAATTTTCTTTTTATTACATTTTTTTATGGCAATCAACTTTATTATAAATTTTATTTTTAACTTTTTTATTAATTATTATAGATATAATATATTAATATAGATTTAACCCTAAATTTATTTTATCATACATATTAATCAAAGATTTACTTCTTTCTGAAAATCATGTGGTTTCAATTATTTCTCTTTATTGTACCATATAATTATTAATTTTCTTTTATTTGACCTTGATTCTATTTTCTATATTGATTCTATTTTCATATATTATTGATTTCACTTTCTTGGTAGTATTAATAAAGGAAAGTGTGTAACATTAAAGGTCAAAGTTTATGCCAGGGTTTATATTTTATAACTTCATACTAAAAGATCGTCAAGATTAATACCGTTCTATGTTAAAAAAATGTTTGCGTTGGCATTTAATCATTTTACATCATTTTTGAATATTTGATACAGAATTGGGTAAGTTAGTTTTTCTAAGTAAAAAAATATGTAGTTGTATATTGCAAATTATAATATATGATTTTTTTGAAAAGCAACTAAATGTTTTTTCTTTACATTAATTGATTTATCTCGTTATTTTGTGCATTAACCTTCAAATGGTACAAGAGTGCAAATTCGCACCGCGAAAATTTTCGAATTTCTAGCATTTGCATAGACATTTGTCGCGGCTTATCTCCACTACGTTAAATATGCCCGGTACCTCAGGTGACAGGTAACATGCACAGTTTCAGTTTCGTGCAGATTATTAACGAAATATTAACTTTGCAAGCGTTGTGGTGCATATTTGCATTTGTATTCAAATAGCGTGTGCTAGATCGGTGCCTACTTTTAGCGTTTTACACATTTATAAACATTACGTTATAATCATTGTAATATGTTCCCTTTTTTTACATTATAATAACAAATAAAACATTTGTATGTATCTTATTCCATCTGTTTTCTCTGTCTTAACTTCCATGATAATATGGACAGTACTTTTTAATATAATTTTAATTATGTAAACGGTTTTTATTAATAATTCACTTTATAAATTGGTAAAATTTGTTCTTAAAATATCTAATTTTCATTGAAATTATTTTTAGAAGATTCAAATTACTATTAAATGAACAGAAAATATCCCAACTTCTGGCTATGTGGAAAAATATTTTACTTTCTATTTCTGCAATAACAATAATTTTTTATTAAAATATGTATATCATTTTAACTAAAGAATCACGCAAGTTTCACTTCATTTCATAAAATAACAAAAAAATGGCAGCTTTTCTTTGAAAAAAATGACGTTTTTTAAAACGGTTACTCATTTATAATTAATTTTCAATTGTTAAATAGTTTTTCTATTAAATTGAGTAATACCGCTGGATTTGTGAGAAAATTTGATCCCAAAGTGGAGTTTTCAAAACATTGTTTTTATCCTCAGGAAAGATGTACAATTTAAGAAGTCAAATCCAAATTCGCATTATTGTTCCATTAGTGGGTGCTCGAAAGAAGTGTACCATTTAAAGGTTAAAATATTAAATATAATTATAAAAAAGAGATTTTTTTTATACTTCATATGAAAATGTGCCGGAATATAAAACATGAAATATCTCAACTATATCGATTTTTTTGATAACTACTTTAACACTTGTATATGCAAAATAATTAGAAGAATCATATTACGCAAAAAAATACAATTTTATTTTAAAAAAACGACCTTTATGTGACCTTGAAAAATCGATTTTTTGAAAATGTATTTTACCATTATTTGTTTTCCTTCAAATCATATGACTTTAGTGTGACTTTAGTCTGAATGTTTTTTCTTCCATATTTTTCGAGATATTTGCTTGCATCATTTATAATAGACCACCGTGTATATAATTCTAACACTTATACAGGGCCGGCGCGACCATATAAACGAACTAGGCATTTGTGATGCTTTGCTTTGAACGTGTCGCCACATGCCAATTTGAAGTTTTTTTTGCGCGTAAAGATGTTTTCTGCTAGATGTTTTCTCACTTTGCTTTTTTCTCGCGTAGAATGTTTAAAATATTTAAAATAATAATTGTGTAATTGTTCAGAAAGGACGCACATTATTTATTCGCCTAGGGCGTCAACCTTCCTTATGGCCCTGTACTTATGTGTTATGAAGATACAAAATTATAAGATATATGGTATTTAATAAGTTACAGTGTGAACATTTTTTTAAGCATTCAATATTTTCTTTAAAAATTGAGTGTTTCCTGGCACATTATGGCCAAGTTCATCTTGTTCGCTTTCACACTAAAAACGCAGTATCGGCATGGTTTAATTCAACATGTTGAAGCTCTATAAATCAATGACATTATAATTTTCTACCAAATATATTATTATTTTTCTTTATATATTTTTTCTTAAAAGAAATGGTGCAATAAAAATATGTACGCTTTCAGTTAAGACAAACACGATGTTATTAACGTAGATAACTAATGAATAGAGGACGAAAAAAGAGAAATTCAAGAACAAAAAATATATTTAATATGAAACAGATGTAAATATAAATTATACATAAATAACTAATCTAATGGATAAAAAAAATTATATCAAATTATTGTTAGATTTATTGAATAAAAATGTTATAAGAGATTTCTTCAAAATATTAAAAATTTTAATCAATTATCTTTTCTCAAGTGAATAGCATTCGAGACTTTTATTATGGATTTACAATATCAAGATATTTACAAACAACTAAAGTAAAGTTATTCAATATAGTAATTATGCATACTAGGTGCAATTTCACAGATTTCAATGGCCTTGACATATATTGTTAAGAGCACTCTCCTATAAGTGATCTGCGAAAAGTTTCAGCTATCGATCGTTGTTTATTAAAAAGTTATTAATAAAGTAAGTTTAATGAATAGAACATATTTAATGAATAAACATATAATAATTATTTCAATTAGGGGAATCAGCCCCAATCATCTTGACCTTATCATATGTTGTCAAGGTTGATGATCCTAAGTGACCTAGAGGATTCCATTTGGTGATCACTGTTTATTAAAGTTAACAAAAAGTTTTATAACTAGAACATGATTTTTGATAAACCCATGTGAAACCTGGCTTCATGTTGAAAAATATAAGTATACGTAGAAGCAGTGTGTTCTGCTTTCCCTCTTATGAAGGGCCCTTTCCTACATCGTTACAACTCACCTAACTCAAACCATATTTTAATTTTGAATCAGAAATAGGTGGAAGTTGAACCCATGTGGAATTTGGCTCATGCTGAAGGGGATGGAACACACTGCCTCCATGCATACACCTTTCAACGTAGAACATTGAGTTTCTTGAATGTGCGCGCGCGCGCGCGCATGTATAGATGTAGATATGTATATACTTATTATATTGCTATTAACAATTTAGATTGACTAGTCTTAAATGCAGTTCTTTAAAAAGTATTTTTGTCACATTAAACACACTGTTATTTGACTTACAAACAGTATTTATATTTTCAATAAACGGACAAACATACTTCTGAATAGTATTGACAGTATGAAAGCGAGTGAGATGAATTTAGTCTGTTCTGTATGTATGTGGCAACATATTGCAATTAGTATATTTATTAAAAATACATTCTATTTTTATAAAAGAACGATTTACATATGTAAATAATTGTTCCAAAAAAAAAAGAAAGAACTGTACAGATAGGTGGAACGTATATAAAAATATTTTCTTTTTTTATTTATTAAATATAATTAAATGTTACATATATGAGTCACATATACAATTATATACATTAATTAGATATTCGCATATACAATTATATACATTATTAGATATTCAATTTAATGCTTTTACAATTTAATTTTGATGGCATTGAATACTGTTTATAAATATGTAAAACAAGATTTTTGTTCTCTTGTATTATATTCGACATTAGGGAAATTTTGACTTTAAATTTTGAAATAAATTACTCAAAATGTCTATCATAATTACATGTAACATATAGTTTTTAATAGCTTAAGATTGTTATGAAATAAAAATTGTGTAAAAAGATATTTTTATTTATTGAAATAAATATTCTTCCCATAGCTTGCTCAAATGTATATAATAAATAAAGATAATTTTGATAAAATCAAAGAGCTTTCAAATATTGTTGTTATAGAACTGTGAAAGGCTTAAACATATCGGAGTTAACAATTCAAAAGTACAGCATTATTCAAGAAATAAAAAATTTTATGCGAAAAGTTATCTGTAACTATATTCATGTATTTTTATTATTTATTTTTATTATGTACAAAGATATTCTAACTTGCACTTGAAACATATTATATGTTGCCGGCGCGCGCGCGCGAGTTGTGTGTGTGTGTGTGTGTGTATGTATGTGTGTTAAACTGTAAATGTATATATTCTTGTGATATGCACACGCTGCATTTGGATAACGCACACGATATACTACAAATAAATAGACTGGAGGAAGCGGAAGTGGTGGGCACTTAAATTATACAGGTGCTCACAGAGTTCCACAAATTTATCCAACACCGTCCCCTTATCATAATCCACAACTAGCATTCTTACCTCCTAGTACACAGGTAAGTAAACATTTATATTGAAAGTCATCCTCATGAATCATACACGATTCTGTACACATGTACACATGAGAGAGAAAGAGAGAGAGACACGCACACACATAAACTTTTTTTATCATTCTACAGTTAGACTTGTGTGTATGTGCAGGAGCTGAAAACGCCGCTATCGTTGAAATCCACCAGTGCGATGACAACTCGATTTGGCGATTTGACTTTAGGCTCTCCGACTCCAGTGAGAAATACAGAGACAAGTTTCACTCAAAATTCTGACTCTGAGTCACAAGTGGCAAAAATCAACGCTGTATTCCCGACAGTTTCGGACACACATATTCGTCTTTTACTGAAGAAGTAAGTTTCTTATTATGCAAATTATCTATTAGCAAGATTTTCCGTTTTGAAGTTTAGTACTCACACTTTCTAACATTTTTCCTACAAACATTAACATTAATATTAGTATTAACATGGAAAATAAAAAACTATCACACGTACAAGAAACAGTTGCTTTTTCAAGTTTCTATCATTGAATTTATCCGAGCTTCCCTGTTCATTTTCTTAAATTAGCACTGTATGAAGTTTTGGTGCTAAGTCGACAGCCAATATCTTTCAGATACCATAACAGGGCAGCTTTGGTCATGAGTGCTCTCCAAGTGGAAAAGAATCCTCTTTGTGCCCCAGGACCGTGTACACCTGTGGGAGTGCATTCAAATTATGCAATCCCGAGATGGCGTCTACCGGCTCATTCTATACATGCAGCATTAACATTGAGTCCGCCTCGCGGAGTTCGGCCAGCCCCTAACTCCCCAAAAATGAAACTTAGGTTTAACCCAAATATTCATAGTTTCAGTCTCTTTCACCCAGTCTGGATGCTAGATGTTGATATCGTATCTTGTGATAGTTCCATCGAAGTATACCAGTCAAAAAGCACTGCCTTTTTTTGCATTGTTATAATTGTCTGGTATATTTCACGCATACACACAACATTATGTAGCGGTAGCATGTATGGAATTATAGATTTCCTTCAACTATATTTAGATATTAAGTACCAGCAATTATATGCAATTATTTATATATAAATTTTTCAAAATAATTTATCGTGCACGGTAGCAAATACATAATAGGTTTTTTTTTTGTTAATCTTATTTAATTTATTATATTTTTATCGCTTTTAAGAAATTTAAAAAATGTCCTCTCATTGAGCTCAGTAATATCCAAATTTATGACATCTGTTATTTTCTTTTATCTTTCAGTTTCTTCCTGGTTTGCAATAACGTACATGTTGGATTAGTATGAAATTTACGCTATCTAGAATAGGTTGGTTTTTGTTCCATATTGTTCATGTTTTATTTTTGTTTGTCATTTTAATGGCACAAATTAAAGCTTTATATTGTTAATTAGATGTCATTGTTATGTTAGTTGTGTTGTTAAAAGGGAATAAAAGAGTTTTTACATATATCTTTGTATAAAATTTATACGTATACACAGTTCTTATATATTGTTATAGATAAATACATCAACAATATTTTTCTTAAATATGACACTTAAATATTATTTCATAGATACATATACACAACAAAAAAAGAAACTCATTTATCCCGTAATGAGATAAAATTTAAGCATGATAGTATGTGCATGTGCATTCTATCCTAAAAATATTTAGATAAAAATTAATGTAGAGTATTTCATTGTTAGTCATAAAAAGAAAAGAAAAATAGATATTTTTAGATATTAATCACATGTACATATTATAAATAATATTAATTATTAATCTCTTTTGTGTTATTATTTTACTAAGTTATAAAGTACAATCGACAGCATTAATGTTATCCGATACACATTCAAAAAAAGACTTTTACCTGACGATTTACAACTCTTTTTATTCTTTTACAAATTGAAATAATTAATTTATACCTATCAGGGATTACCAAAATATGGGTAGTAAATTTTTAGTAGGTCGCGAAAAATTTTAGAATGTTAAATTACACTTTATTACCTTGCATAGCTGTATAAACTTACGAGCACGCATATTCTTTCACAACTTCTATTTATGTAAAATTCATTTTTTAACGATCAAGGAATCAAAAGCAAATTTTAAAATAAATTATAATTATCACTCTCCTTGCGTCTAAAAATATGCGTCTATATCGACGTTAAAGCTGTCAACAGAAATAGAAAACAAGGACATTCTTTATACATATCTATGTAAATCTGAGAGTTTTTTTGAAATCATATTCAATACACAAAAAGAAGGGAAGTATAGTATAGAAGTATAGATGTATAAATAAAATGGTATAAATAAATAAATAAATAATTTACTCGTTCGCCGCTTTTTCATATTTATTAAAACAAGACATGTCACGGATGTTTCTGTTTTTAAAAGTGGGTTGTAATTTATACAAATTTGAGAAACTCTGGTATGTACTATTAATAATGCAAGTTGCAAAAAATACAACTTGATACATTTCTTAAATATTGTAGACACACTCGACGGCATACATTAATGCTACGTATATGAGTTACTGAAATATATGAATAACTCTGAGTTATTGAAATAAAATTACATTAAATTATCGTTGTTTTAATAATGAGTTATAATTCGTATACTATGTTAAAAAGTTATTAAATTCCTATGATATGCAATGCATTATGTTTGTACGTTGTGCACATAGCGGTAACATACATAGTTATATTAAACATTTATATGTTTGGAATGTATGTACAGGTACCTGAAAAGTGTTTTTCCAAAAGTGGACGAAACGATACTGTTGGATGTGCTAGAACAGAGCGATAATAATGTACAGAAGGCATCTGAAAAATTAATTGATTTAGGATATGAAAAACGGAATCCTACTGTTCCTGCCAGAGCTGTAGCCAAAAAGAAAGAAGAGGAAGAGGTAATAAATTTTTTTTACTGTGGATCATGTAAGTTCCGGTCTACAATAGGTGTAATAAGCCTTAAGCCGTAAGATATTGATCAATCACAGTTGAATGTGAGAAGAATAACTGACTGTGGTGGTCAATTTCTTATGGCCTAAGTCTTACTATATCTATTGTAGACCGGGACTAACGCGCATACATCATTACATATAGAAAAAATGTTTCTGCAGGTACATGACGAACCAACTGCCCCTACGCCTCCTCCACGCATAAAAAGCTTGGAAGAAAAGAACAAGTGTACGTATTCGTCTAAACTTTGATTTTATTTTTATATTTAATGATAAATCCACTATAGAAAGAAAATGTTGTAGTGAAAACACGTTTAATGGAAAAATATAAGAATTTACCAGACCGAATTGTGATGCTTGCCATGGATAGTGTTGATTATGATGAAGAAAAAGCAATACATATATTAGATATAGTAATGACAGAAGAAGCTACTCGACCACTATGTACTTCTAGCAGCCAAAGGTAATGTTTCGATTTTTAGCAATACATAGAAAGAAATTATAAATATATTTCTATTAATTTTCTCTCAAATGTTGAATATATTGTAGTAGTAGAAGCGATGAACGGAAAGACAGTCCACCAGTGACGGAAGCTATAAAATTAACTGCTTCTCCGATTAAAAAAATAAACAAAGATGTGGATATTGAAAAGTTGAAACGGTCCAAAAATAAGACTGAGATACCGAAGTAAGATATTTATTTAAGATTATATCTTTTAAGATATATTATTATTCTGATAAAACTTATATCTACTGAGAACTCGTTTCTAATTATATATATACATATATATGTATACACACATAGGATTGTGTATACAGGGTGAGGCACTTATAACAGGCCATCTAAATAATTTTTTAAAGGTGCAAGATATTTGATTGAAATTTATAGGGTTGTAATGGCATCATGAAATCTATCTATTTAACCTTGAAAACCTTGAAAACATCCACTTTAATCCCTTCAGGAGAGGGGAGGGGGTTGAAAATCTTAAATGGTGGGGTCGAGTGAGAGCTCGTTTCAAAGGGCTTTTCAAAACGAGAAAAACGCGAGGCCTCTACGATTTTTTTTTGCAGAGTTATGTTCATTTGAACATTGATGTTATTTAGCACTGATGAGGCCCACGGCGAGGACGTGAGGAAGATAAAACTTCGTGCATGTTCTTCACATGCACATACGCGTTCTTCCATATGCATTTCCATCCATTCAAGAACATGTGCAAAGCCTTATCTTCCTCGCCGTAGGCCCTCGCTAGCGTTAAATAATACCGATGTTCAAATGAGCATAACTGTGAAAAAAAATCGTAGAAACCTCACGTTTTTCTCGTCTTGAAAAGCCCTTTGAAACGAGTCCTGCACCCCACCATGCAATTTAAGAGTTTTGATCCCCCACTCCATCTGGAGGGTTAAAGTGAGTGTTTTCAAGGTTAAATAGTAGATTTCATGATGTCATCGTAACCCTATAAATTTTAATCTAATATCTAGAACCATTCAGAAATTATTCAGGTGGCCTGTTTTCACTGCCTTACCCTATGCGTGTGCGTGTGCATGTGTGTGTAAGTGTATAATTAATCTAAGATATATAAATATTTTATTAACACGTTGACTGCTGAACCTAATTTGTTTATCTCTCCGGCGACACTAAAATAAAATTTTCACTATTAAACACGCCTTAATATTATGTAAATGAATTATGCAAAATTATCATACAGATGAGTATGATAATTTACATTTTACATCACATTTATTACTTTAGACTGTTATTTGAATATTATATTTACAGAATTACAAATGTTATTTTTTACGAATTTGCATTTCTTTGAGTTTAGTAACGCCGGACAATGCTGCCGGTTACCGACACGGCGCTTCTGGAAGTTTAAGTGCCTGTCATCGGTAGCCGGCACGGTAGTTAATGTTAATAATAATAATATTTCATTAATAACATTTCTCTATACAATAAAATATGTTGTATTAGAGTTTCACGTGGAACTAGTACTACAGAAGATAAAGAATATAAATCCCCATATCTAACAAAACCAGTGGGCTCAAACTCGGATTTAGCAAAGGGAGCGAATAACGATTTGCTGTTGTATGTTGAACAAATATTATGATTTAATTACTTTTTTCAATATATCTTTATTAAGTAAACAAAAATTATATCATTTAGGCCGGATTATTCACCGTGGTCGGGACCGGATCCAAATATGCTGACTAAACAACCATTTTCAAGATCACTGGCGATGGGACACGATGCAAGTTTACTTTCTACTAATATTTGTCTTGCTAAAGGCTCCCAGTCTGAATTACGAAAAGGACCATTAAGGGGATTGGCCCAAGGCTCCATTTATTCGCAAAGGAATGTAACTAATATAGAGAGTCGTGGTAAATGAAATATGTGCAATTGTTTTTTTCTTGATATTTTTACGTTTATTAAATAATTAGATATTAAATAATTAGATATTAAATCTTAATTTTTAGTGGCAATTGTGTAAACTCTTTTCTATCTTTGGAATGATTTAATTTTTAATTTTTTATTGATTCGAATGTTATAAAAAATCTAATGTACAATTTAATAAAGATTTATGTTTTGTTGATAGTTTATATATATATTTGTTGTTTAGTAAGACTAAATGACGAATATATTAATTATTATTTTGCATTATGTTATTTAATGTTAAACCATAATAAATGAGTTTATTTCTCTTGGAAATTTATATTTATTGCATGAGCCGTTTATAGATAAAGTAAAGTAGACAAAAAGCTTTATAAATTGTAGTCTATTTTAACGAGATGCAGACACATTATAATGCATTTTGATTTTGCTAAAAGTTTTGAAACTCAGTTTATCTTATTGATAAAGTAAACAATTTATATACAAGGTGAATCAAAACTATTACAAGCTAATTTTTTAAACAACGAAGTATGAGATTCTTATTTTTCAAGCGACTATTTAGTATCAAAGCAGATATTGTGTAAAATTAATTTTTTTCTAATTAAACAATCGTTGAAAAGTAAGAATTTTATACATCTTGTTCAATTTCATAAATATTAGCCTGTTTATATAACACTTTTAGTGAATTATTCGTGTATAAATGCAATCGGCCCGTGCTGTAGATTTTCCAGACAGCACACGATATTAATAGAATGTCCATAGAACGTTCTAAAAACATTGTACATCCTTAGAATGTTCTATGGACGGACTCAGGAGATCTGTGCTGTCTGAGTTATATCAGATGAAAGTAAATACGACTTATAAATAGAAAAATGAGACAGTTTACATAGCAAATGCAAGTAAAAGCGGACGTATTTTAATCATAGCTCATAAACTGGCGACGACAATGATCTAGCGAAACGGCTGTGCGCATCGAATCACTTTTATTTTTTTGTTCGCATGCTAATTTAAGGTATGAGATTACTTGACATTTTTGGCATTTTAAATAAATTACCTATTTATGTTGATTTTCTGATTTAAGGCTCCTGCCTAGTCAGCCACGAACTCCGCGTTGACAGTGGCGACGCTATATCGCGGTAGAAAATTAGAAGCTTCTTTATCATATTAGGCTCGTTTTATAATATGTCATATGTCGGTGTTTTAAGTCATAAACCGTGATAATTCTACAGAATATATTGTATGCCGATATCGTAAGCTGTATAAAATTGATCAATCACAGTCGAATATGAAGAGAATACTCGACTTGAAGAAAATAACGGATCTGCTGTGAAAAGTGTTGACAACAAATTTTGTGTTGCGTGCCATTTCGTTATGTGCTTAATTGTAAAAATGTGACTTGTCTCGTATTTATCAAAGTCATAAAAATGAATGGAAACTATAATTATTATCGAATTTTATGTAAAAGTATCTTTTCCATTCCTTTCAACAGCTGTCAAATTGTGAGTTTTCTTGCTTGAATAAGTTTCACTTTACGTGCCTTTTACGACTATTTACTGACTTTCAAGGGGAAAAAGGATAGTTTCCATCCATTTTTACAAGTTTTCTAAAGCGATTCTATTTATTAATTTTATCCAAATCCTCTTTATTAAAAAATGGCACGCCACAAACTTTTATGTATGTCATTCCTCGCTGTTTCTCGCTTATGACGTCACGAGTCCAATATGATTATGCAATCAAAATTCTTCAATATATGTACAGGGGATATTTCTATGTTCAAAAAGTCATGTACAATGTTACACGAAATAACTGGCGTATGCATTTATAATAGCTATCTAATTTGCGACGTTACGCAAGCAAATAGCAAGTAATCGAAAAAAAGAAAAATTAAATAGAGGAAAAACTAAAAATTGTTTTTAGTCGAAAATCAGTCTAATTTTTCGTGATTTTATTGAGATTATTAAAAGTAAATTATGCAATTTTTAAAGCAAAAATTTTATACATATCCATAATAAATATATATATATATATTATTATTATTTATTTTATTATTATATATATAATTTGTTTTTAATGAATACAGCACATGATAATTTGTAAATTATTTTTTATTTTATTTAGATTTCAAAATTTATATTTAAAAAATTGTGCATCTTCTAACAAAATAGCAATCAATTAATAATTTGTCATATTTATTATTAATTTTTATTCTAATAAAGTTAACTTTTTATTTTAATAATTTTACTTTTTACATATTAAAAAATATATATAATATTGCAAATAATATTGGAAAAGAAATTTTCATTATTAATGAAAGAATTGAATAAATATATTTTTTTAAACCAGGATTTCAAGTTTCGAAATAATTAAAATTTCTAAATAAAAATTTTGTAAAAACGACTAAAACAAATTATGTCTGTATTCTACTCGTGAAATTTTTATAATTTTTCTCTGAACACAATTTCGTATTAAATAATGATTTAATTCTCAGCAAGAACTGATATTCTTTTTTAACTTTATGACATATAAACACATTATTGCAATAAATAAAATTAATGTAAAACCTTACATAGATATAATTAACATCAAAAACTTAAAAAATTGTATATGATACCTATAATTTGAATAGATTAAGGACTTAAGATATATTATTTATTACTTTTAAAATGCATGAAAAATGTCAAGTAATTGAACATCTTATTATGTAAAGAAGAAAAGCTAGAGATTTCTCTGCTAAATGCTCTTTCTCGTCCAATAATCGGCTCGGGCATGTTTAAGCCCGTCCTTTTTTTACACTTAAAAAGAGCTAAATATACTGTATATTTTTAAATTATTCGGATATTCCTTTTAGCTATAGATTATTTTATTCATTTGAAATTAATTTTTCTGCAATGAAAATGAGACAGCTATAATCAGTAATTGAAAATGAAAGAATTATATCAATTATATGTCAAATTACATAATGTTTTTAGAACAGAAAAATAAAACCTTGGATTTTAGTTTGAAATATAATACAAAACCTTTTTAAGATTAAAATCTCAAAAAAATATTGGAAAACTTAGCGATATTATAAAAAAAAACATTTTCAAAACTTTTTGGAATGATAGTGATGTTTCCTAAAATCTCTTTATAAAACTATATTTCTGAAAAAAAAAACAATCTTAAATAATAGATAAAACTCTGCCTGTTCTTTAATAGCTTTGTAAAAAATCAATATTTTATAAAAGTATGTAAAAGCATAAAGTTCCTAAGTAACAAGATGATGTCAAATGACGTTTCAAGAACGTCTTATTGACGTTAGAGACGTTATTAAGACGTTTTTTGACATTATTAAGACGTCCCCTTGTTACTTGGGATAATTCAATTTTACATATAACTATCAATTTATCTATAACAATAAATTTTTTTTTTTTTTTGGTATAAGCTTTAAATTTTCTGAGAAAAGAGAACTTTTAAAAAGAATTCTCTAGATTAACTAAATAGCTATAGTTGGAAGGATATTCGATGATTTAAACACACTTTAGTAAAAATGAAAAAAGATACAGGAACATTGTAGAAAAGTATTGAAAATACAGATAGAATGAACTTGTCTTTTGTAACAATTGTCATGATATACGACTCACTAATACTTCATAACAAGATGTAAGCAAAAAAAAATGTTTATTGCATAGGAATTTACTTTTTTTTTATTATAAAGTTCTTATTTAAATACTTAATATTTTAATATTTATTATGCGATTCTTGTTAGCAAATGCTTATGACCTTTTTTATGTAAGATATTTTAGATCTAGCAAACTACACGTTTTAATCATATAATTTTTTTAAATTTAGAATCTTTTTAAGTATTTTTGTTTACTCTGTATTGTCAAAGATTATCATCTGTCGCAATTTGTTTAATTAATCTCACTAGACTTTAAATCTGTTATAATGAATGAAATTAAAAGAAAAACAAAATTTTTACAATTTATACTTGTAAAATTTAATCCTCTAAAACAAGACTTTTCCAAATTTGTATGGATCGCGATCTACTTTCTGAAACGGTAAACATCCATAATCCCATCTAGTTAGTAAATATGAAAAGCGGGAGGAGTAAATTGATTTTATTTATTTATATTATTTGACTTATACCACTTTATTCTTTCTACTTTTTAAGGTTTTATTAAATATAATTCTAGAAATTTCTCAAATATATGTATATTAAGATATATGTGAAAAATACGTTTGTTTCCTATTTCTATTGATAACAGCTTTGATGTTGATATTGACGTAAATCATTTTCAGGCGCAAGGCATAATTCATAATTGTAGTTAATTTCGAAATTTGATTCCTACCATCGCATCGTTGAAAATCCAACTTCATACATGTACGAAGTCGTAGTACATGTATATTTGTGAAGCGCAAATAATACTATATATACAATTACAGCTATACAGTGATCATTAGTGAATCGCAACACAAGCATGCACGCACATACTCCCGCTTTTCCTTCCTTTCTCTTATTCCCTTTCTAGTTTTCTTTACTTTTTACCATTTTATTTTCAATTTTTATTTAATTTGAAACTCTGAGCCTATACGATATTTTTATTAAAAAAAGATCTAAAAGATTTTATATTGTTATGTTATATTATGTAAAATTTTTTTTTGTGATAATAGAAAATGTTATATACACACAGACATCCGCCAAAAGTAATTATAGAAACTTTAATTATAATAATGATGTAATATTTATTATATTTTTGTGTATAAAGAGAGGGGCGAAAAACTCTTAATATAAATGAAGAAAAACGTGAGTCGTATATTATAATTTCTTTTTTATAAAAAACTATTAATGTGGTATAATATTTTTCAGTAGCAAGTATATTATTAGATCTTTAAAAATCATGGTGTACTCATAAAATTATATTCTGATATATAATAATGTAAAATATTATATAGCATTTCTACCTTTGATATATCATACTAACAATAAGTTTAATATTATATACATAAAATATGTTAACTCTCTCAGAATATGTTTAAGTATTACTGATGAAATTTAAACAACTTGATTTTACATATACATATACACAAAATTATATATTATACTTGATAGTACATATTTTAAATTAATGTCAATATTGACATATATACGTATATGTATATACATACATTTATATGTTATTAAACAAATAGTATAATCGAGTC